ATCAACTGGTTATCTTTATAACAAAAATGATAAGCTAATCATAGAAATTAATTGATAACTGCTTCAAACAAAGGGAGAATAATATAAAATTCAGACAACCAGCTGCCTCACAAAGAAAAATTACGAGCTTTCTTTTTTGTTCTGTTGTGATATTCCTTTTTTTTTATTGTCATGTTATTAAAATTATACAGATTATTATTTATTATTATTCCAATTAGAGCCATGTTTAATGCTTTCCTGTTTTTATATATATAAGTTAATAATACAAAAATTTTATTTTATTTTGTGAACAATATATCTTTTTTAATTCAAAACAAATTACAAAAGAAAAAATGAATAATTGAATTGTATCAAATAGTGATTCAACAAGTAATAAATGATTCATCAGAAATAAATAGAATGTAAAATCGTTTAGTTTATATACATTGTACTTCCGCCCTTTGTACCTTTGTACCGGTATATCTTTTATGTTAAGGTGACCTTAATGTTGGAGGAGATGAGCGTTGGAATCAAAGTAAAAAAATACAATACCCCCCTCAGTTATAGGATACATAAATAAGTGATTAATGAACAGGGGGTTTCCAGTTTCCTGATTGGATCATGTGTGGAGTGAGTTTATATCGTTCTGAATCATGTGACAAAGTTATCATTATTTCTGGCAACGTTGTCATAGTAAATATTACAACTTATTCCCAGTGGTCTGGTAATACTTCGCAATTTCAATAAATACTTGATGGGCCTTTCTGATGGCTGAGTTGTTGTTCTAGATTTTGAATCGCATCAAAGAAGCTAGGATTAACAAAATCATAGTAGAAGAGAAAGAGTTGTACAACCAAAAATGTTTTTTTTTTTGTGGTACTCAGGGCTGCATGTTGGTGTGCAGTAGAAATTGCAGATGCTAAATAAGTAGCTAATGCTTGAGATTCTATTTCTGAATATAAATTCTCAGATCTAGATGAAAGTAACGACAACTGACAACATTCTGACCATTGTGATCATTATCACCTTCCACTGAATAATTCATTTTAGTAAGTTTTGTCCGTGTGATAATAGATTTTCAGTATTTAGACAATAGGCATTTCTCTCCCATGATGCATTGTGGCTCAAACTGCCTTAAAATAGTACTATAGTCATTCATTGCTGACCAAGCCACTAATGTTATGAATAATTATGAGGTCATCAGTCTTGTGATATCATTTTAACATGGGATTCACAGTTGAATTACTGAAGCTCATTGACTCGGGGTTCATGGTCATTTCCTGGATTACAAACTTTGTAGGTGATGTTTCTGAAAAACTCAGATCTGTTTAATTTTCCCCAATTTTTTTTTTCGCTCCAGATTCTCGGTAAGAGGCAATTTTCCAAGTTTTAAATAGTTCTTTTGAAAACTTCATTGAAAAAATGTCCTTTGAAACAAACAAAAACATTTCCTCATTTCATTCCAGATATAATGTTTGAAATCCCCTACAAAACATTTTGGGTTAATAGCTGCATTATTGTCAATTAAAATCTGTTTTTTAACATTAACCATTTCCAAATTTTGCCACTAGAGGGCACATGTTATACACCTTCATGCAAGTTTTGATGTCATATGTTGTACAGGTAAAATTTGGTTAATATAATAGAATAGACCATTTTCAGTTCACTGCGAGATTCTGCGATATGCATGTAATCGATCGCTAAAACAGGACAAATAAATGTCAAAACATCCAATGAGTATTTCAGTGTTTTCTAATGTATACACATTTGACGATAGTAAAATTTAAATGAAGGAAGTTATCCCAACGCAGTATTCTCGTTTCAAAATCAACATTTTAACATTAAAAATATAAAACAAAAAAATTCAAGTTCAGAATCAAATTGTTCGATATTTGAGGCAGACATTCGATCAACGCGATTCACACATTACATGACATCTTGCAGTGAACAGAAACTCCCTTATTTAAGGTCATGCGTAATTGCACACACAATGGCACTTCTTTCACCTTATCTTGGGTGATTGTTAACTTAAAGAAATAACTGCCCTATATAACGAGTACTGTAAAATACTTTATTTTAGCTGGAATTAATTTTCGCTGAAATCATATTTCAGGCAATTTGTATGGAATTTATTGTCACTGATTTTTGACGATTTGAATGTAAAATATAGGGAAAAAGATATATTCGCTGGATTTTATTTTCACTGAAACATTCCTTCAGCGAAAATAGCGAAAATTAATTCCAAGCGAAAATGAAGTATTCTACAGTATTCTGGAAATCCCCTCAAAGGCTTGTAGATTAGAATCTGGTAATGTTCACATAGTTTATAGTTCACACTCATTACTTGAAGTTGACACCTACACGACCTCAGACAGCAAAAGCCGAATCCAATCCATAAAGAATAGGAATACCTGGGTTAACATTTAGAATGTACAGCAATAAAAATAAACTGCAGTTGTTTTTGTTTGAACAATTTATCTCTAATTGACTTCAAACTTCTCATCTTACTCCTTCACATGAAATTTTGGCTTGGTATACCTGTTATACGTGTATTGAATGCAAAATAGAAACCATATGTGGCTGTAAAATATCATACCTGTTTAACTGAAATTTTAGGCCATTATAAGTGCCATAATTATTCACTAGATATTTTTGTTTTTTAATGTTCAAATAGCAAATGCTATATATATATATTTCAGTACGGAAACCCTATTTATGTTTAAAACAACATGACAGGGCTGTGCAGCCATCTCTTTGTCAAATGGCAATTCAATGCAATATCTTAGCATGAGCCAGGCCCGGTCAAACACAAGCACCTTTAAATCTTAACCAAGGTTCCCCCAATGCCATGGTTCTGAATGGATCTCGACCAGTGGATTCAGCCCTCTCATTGTGTCTGTAAGACACTCACACAGGTAGGGATAGGATTTGAACTTAGGTATACCAGTGACAACGATGTTCTTAGAACACTATTTCTTGCATCAGAATACATATTTTTGTAATGGTACTATGATACCTGATCACTAAGTGTATTGATATGTAAAAAGTAGTGCCGTTGGTGTATCTCAAAATGACAGAAAAAAAATGAGAATATTAAAACATTAAGGTAGTGGCAGGGGTTAAGTGTGTTACTAGTAATTAATAATTGATTCATGATTCAGAAATTCTAATGACCAATTTCTTTATTGTAATTTTTTTACTATTCTGACTATTGAAAAAAATGTTTTTTATTGACATTTTCAGTCATGCAAATGACATGTGATTTGCACAGGATGTTGGTAACAAGATAATCTAGATCGCATCTTGGTTTTTCGTTTTTCGTTTCTGGCCACGACTAAATAACTACAGACTAACTGCTGGCAATGAATTATCAGTACAGATAATACAAGAAAAACAACTCAGAATTTGGCTGCAGCCATATATTCATCAAGAAAATTTATGGCACACTTTTTAAATTCAACAGCATTAACCTAGGAGGTCTTAATTACGGATATGGCAAAATGTGGTACATGTCATCATTTAAAACTCTTGAAACCTTCTCCTATTATTTGAAATCTAATTTCTACTGTAAACATCAGCAACATTCATTGTATTCAGATACACTGAAATAATAAAACATACCTCATAATCTATGGGACAAAATATATCACATATGACTATATTTAGTCTGCACATAAACAGAATGGGATGTCCCTGAGGTACATCTTTTACACAGAAAATAAATTACCTTGAATACAGAAAAAATATATTTATAACTTTAATTTCTACCCTTTTCCATCCACATTTTCTTTATAAGAAAATTTCAAACATTATTTCTAGTACATTTGATTTGTAAGACACACCTGTTGCCACTAGCAACGAGGCAGCATGCTACACACTTTTTTAATACCATGCTTTATCGTCAAATGTAAACATCATTCAATGCCCATGTGTAGCTCTAAAAAGTCAATAAATATCAAACATTTCTGTACCGGGTATGAATTATGTTGGTATCAATGAAAATAAAAGTATGGAATTTGCATAATTATTCATTTATCAACCTTCAAATTTATTATTTCTTGCATTCCAATTACACTCATCACCATAGTCATTGTGCCGCTTCACGTTCAATGTGAGTCCCATGCAACATACACAATGCAGAAAATATATTGTTTAAATGAAATTCAAAAGGTCAATAAGTTCAAAACACAATTCCATTTAGCATGTACAGTGCAATTTATGGTGGAAAAATTCTCATTAATATAAGGAAAAAATATAATTATTTCATGGGAAACTCATTAAATTATAATTTATAACAATATTAGAGTCGTACCATTAACAGTATATAAATTTATCAGCTTGTGTCAGTGAGTAAAGTTTCTAGATATACTTACTTTCACCATGGAAACCAATACAAATGAGAAATTGTAATAACATTTTTGTTATTTTCCATAAAAATTCAGATAACCTCATTTTTTGTTATTTCTTTAACCCAATTAATTGAACATTATTGAAAGTAAGTTCAAAAAGTGATATTAAAATAATGTTAATTAACAATATTAGTATTCATATAATAATATAAAACTTTTTAAAACCTCACAGTGCAAAATTTATTGATATGGAGAAAATAGTTTCACCAAAGAAACAAGCACAAAAATTTAGTAATTTTCCATCACATTTTTTTATCTGTTTTCCTAAACATGAAGACTTACACAAATTTATACTAATATCATGTAATTTTATATTAGTAACTTTTTTGAAAGGGTGAATAAATAAATTATGTTATAATTATCATATTATGATACATTCTAGCCAGTTTATTAACCATCATAGCTGAAATTAGTAATAACCCAAAAATATATATTCATGGCAAAAATATTAACAACTTTTTTTACAATCACAGGGCACCAACCTGGGACACTATTTTGTATATTGTAGACAATGAACTAAGCTGAAAATCAATATTTTGTTTTTTCAATTACCAATGTTACCCTATTAACTTAATGCACCTGATAGAAAAATAAAAAAATAAAGCAATTTTATCAACCAACAACTTTTCGTAGTTGAAATACCCAAGCATATCGACATGGCAACTCAGCTTGCAATGGCAATGTGATAGATATTCCATTTTCATTCCCCTGCCATTGAATGTCTTTCTCAAGTCCCAACATCTCGATTGAAGTTGTGTCTGTTTTTTTCACCGACCCGAGCTGCAACTGGCTGGACTCCAGTGTGGGCCATTCAAGAAGTATTGCATAGACTACTGTGATACCACTATATTTGGACCTGGATGTATACCTGTATAGAATCAATTGCATTAGTGTATCAATAACAAACCCATTTTTAACAAAAAGCCACAATTTTATGAAACTGCTCCAATGTGTCGCACCACATTCCACAAGCATGGCCTTCTGGGATACATGAACACAATTTTGCATCCATGTTCTGTCTCTCAAAGTTCAGAGACAATTTAAAAATAAAAAATATAAAGATAAATGAAAGTATATATGTATTATATCCCTGGTACTCACCAAACACTAGAAGTCTTGTCTTTCTGGTGTTTCCATGGTTTGGTGTTGTATATTGCTTCGCCATTGATTTTTAGCCAACTGCCAATTTCACGCAGATGTCCATCGAAGACCGGATGGATTAATCCCTCATGGGATGGGCCAATATTTAATAGGAAATTCCCACCACAGCTGAAAAATAACTTGTTTACATTAATTTAACATGCATACATTTACATGTACATTTATAAAAGCATACTTACAAATGCACATACAAGTACTTCTAAGAAAAGGCTATACATTGTACATTGTCAAGTATTTGGTTATGCATCTTGTGTTTTATTTTAATGTAGTGAATCTAGTTCATTTCGGTTTGTGCAATCAAGCTTTTTTAATTGTGCTCCAATGATGCCATTCTCAGGGGTGGACATCCGGGTATTTTCACTGCCTGGCAGCCATCAAGGTCGGTGAAAACAAAAGCAGAAAACTGTACCTGGGGATAGTTGTTGAAAACAGTGCAACAAGATTACCCTTACATGTGCAACATTAATAAATTTGATTGTTCAGGATTACTTCAAAGTTGAGTTTGTGCTGTTTCCTCGACTTTGTTTACACCTGCTCTTCGAACCGGTGTTCCACAGAAGTTTGCACAGAGCCCATAGAAATACAGGATATAGTGGGGTGTGTTACATTCTGTGATGTACCGGGAGCTCCGCCCTCATTGGTTTCACTTATATTTCACCTGTGAGGGTTTCATCACATATCACCGTACATAGTTATGAAAGTTACATACCATTATGTAGTTTAATTTTAAAGGCACTTCCAGTTGTGCACTTCTAAAATATCTCAAACTAGTTTTACACAAAAAATACCAAATGTAAATTGGTATAAAGACAAAACATCTCATTATACAACCAAGGACTGAATAGCATGATAATTATATTTTATGTGGGAATGCATGCATGCCAAGGTCACAGCATTGTCTGTTGTCTCTGCACAAACTGTGGTTGACGCCTTACACAGGAAGGCATGTGATGTTATAAAGCAATGCCACTGAAATGAGACATGGCAGTAAATAACATGACATACATGTATATAACATATTGATTATTGTCAATCATTTCCAGACTTATTCATGCAACAGATGTGCAATAAGTTATAGAAAATTTTGAACCACCATAATATAATGGATCTAGATGAAAGACAATCATATAATGTCTGTAATCAGAGTACAGGCAACATCTTTGACGAGAACTCCAGTAAAGCTGCATATGTTAATTACGAGATCTATACATTTGTTGGCAATATACAACTATGAATGTCATAGCACTGATTGTATGCCACATTAATTATAAACACTGGTCAACATTTCTGTGTAAACCTAGTTAGATTTGAAGGCAGAAAAGAAAACATAAAAGTTACGTAACATAATTGTCATGTAACAGTGACGGTGAATATATTAAATTAATGTTACCTCTCAGAAACAAGCTTAAACACTGAACATACAGCTACAAAGTTAGTACTCTGAATTTGAATAGCCTCAATTCAATAATTCTGCTTTAATTATAAACTAATAAACAATTAATCATTTGGACAGGAAAAAAGTCAAAATCAAATGTACCTGACAGTCCTCACGAGGCTGCTTATCACGTCTTCCAGTTTCCGAAAGTCGTCTTTATTTGCTTCACGACGATAACCCCATGACTTTTTATCAATAGTTATTGCATTTTCCCATTTTCTGTCGTTAACTTTATCTGTTGAAAATGAAAGTTACTATGACAACACCATAACTTTCAGATTAGATTTTTCGCCAAATTACTCAACAGTGAAAGTGTTTCAACTATGTTTTGCTGACAATAAACCTTAAGATATAATTATATCTATTAGTTTGGAAAATGGAAAAACATAATTAGTGTACAGTTGATGGAACAAAATTAAATCTATATATATTTGCATACCTGCACTTTTTTGTAGTTTTGTGATATAATCGCCATGTTTACTACGTTCACCCCATCGATCATTGGTTACTATGGTATCTTTCACAGAACTGAAAACGCAAGTGAATCTTTCTTATTTATTTTTCATTTAACTAATAAACAAATAATTTCTAGTAAATTGTATTTGTACATGTAAACACCTGGAATATAATTATACTTCAATATTCTCTTTATGGATATGCTGAATAATATGATATTACCAAACAGTGGTGTAGCCAACTTTCTTTAAGATTGTCTTCTAGCATGTGCTTGGAATTCAAATTTATGTTGAGCATATAATTGACTCTAATGGACATCATGGAATTTATTTTCACTGAATTTTGACGTGTTAAATGTAAAATATAGGAAAAAAGGTATATACGCTGGATTTTATTTTCATTGAATCATTCCTTCAGCAAAAATAGTGAAAATTAACTATTTCACAGTATATTAAAAATTATTAAATCAGCCAAAATTGTTTTCCAAGTTAGCATAAATTAGACATGTAATTCATCTATAAAATGGTTACCTCTCACTGTATAGCCATGCTAAAAAGTTTGTAGCATTCCAGTATTTGTCACTACCACCCCAGTCACCATCGAGCCACAACACATCAGGTTTGTAACTCACAATAAGCTCATTCAGCTGTGGTGTTACAACATTCTGTGAGAAAATCAAAGATCAATTATGCCAATGAAAGTGCATGTCTAATATATATGTTAATGAGGTGCACATGCCTACTATATATGCTAATGAAATGCACATGCCCACTTTATATGCTAATGAGATGCACACTCCTAGTATATATATTAATGAGATTGGAATGCCTACTATATATGTTAATGAGATGCACATGCCTACTATATATATGTTAATGAGATGCACATGCCTAGTATATATGTTAATGAGATGCACATTCCTAGTATATATGTTAATGAGATGTGAATGCCTACTATATATGTTAATGAGATGCACATGCCTACTATATATATGTTAATGAGATGTGAATGCCTACTATATATGTTAATGAGATGCACATGCCTACTATATATATGTTAATGAGATGCACATGCCTACTATATATATGTTAATGAGATGCACATGCCTAGTATATATGTTAATGAGATGCACATTCCTAGTATATATGTTAATGAGATGTGAATGCCTACTATATATGTTAATGAGATGCACATGCCTACTATATATATGTTAATGAGATGCACATGCCTACTATATATATGTTAATGAGATGCACATGCCTACTATATATATGTTAATGAGATGCACATGCCTAGTATATATGTTAATGAGATGCACATTCCTAGTATATATGTTAATGAGATGTGAATGCCTACTATATATGCTATTGAGATGCACATGTCTAGTAAATATGTTAATGAGATGAACGTGCCTACTATATATATGCTAATGAGATGCACATGCCTACTATATATATGCTAATGAGATGCACATGCCTACTATATATATGTTAATGAGATGCACATTCCTAGTATATATGCTAATGAGATGCACATGCCTACTATATATGCTATTGAGATGCACATGTCTAGTAAATATGTTAATGAGATGCACATGCCTACTATATATATATATGCTAATGAGATGCACATGCCTAGTATATATGTTAATGAGATGCGAATGCCTACTATATTAGCCTAATGAGATGCGAATGCCTACTATATTAGGCTAATGAGATGAACGTGCCTACTATATATATGTTAATGAGATGAACATGCCCCACTATATATGCTAATGATATTTGCATGCCTGATTTATATGTTAATGAGATTCATGTGCCTACTATATATGCTAATGAGATGTAATATTATAGTGGAGATAATTTATATGCATGAATGTTTCACCATGACCAAAACAAAATTAAAATCTGTGTTCCCAGTAAAACCTATCTACCCATATTTTTGGAAAAAATGAAGTATATTTTATACAAATAAGCATGCAAATTTTTATGCAAATTCCATTTAATTATTTTTATGCAGTGAATGCAATCTAGTAACTAGTTGAATAAAGTAAATTCTGAATACCATACTATAACTAATAAAAAATAATTTTCACATTTGAAACCATGAATATGTTCTAGCAAGACAAGTTCTTTGAAAAAAATAAATAAAAATTAAAATAAAATTTTCTACCCACCTCCTACCCAGTGTTTTGTATACAAATGCCCCTTAACTACATAATAAATCTCATTTGTGGAACTAACCTTGATGTAATCATTTTTTTCAAAATTGCTGGCTTTGTCACTTAAGTAGAGAGGGTTATACCACTCAAGTAGTGAGTAATACAGACCAAAATGCAAGTCTGTCTTCTTTGCTATTGAGGCTGCAAGTTCACCTAACAGGAGCAAACATGCCAATGGTGATTTATGCAAAATTGATCAATTAGAAATATATTAAATCGTGCAAATATAATAGATGGTTACCAATAGTAATAGTTGTCAAAGGAAATTGGTGGTATATGTCAGATGATGTTGAAAGTTATCTGACACTTTTTGCTTTAATTAGTATGTGGTTACCTGCTACAGATATGGATGGTTTATTATATAAATGATGTCATTCTGTGTCATTTCCCAAATATTCATTGATTGATTTCATTTATAAAAACTTGTAAAAGCAAACAAATAACAATTATGGCTAATTGGTGGCCAATTTTAACATAAATTTACCCAAATTAAGGTATTAAGGAATTAATTTTTAAAAAAAACTAATATAATAATATATCAATTATATAATTATCAACTTTTTCCAAACACCAATAATGGATTTTCTGAAATTTTATTTTTATTTAGTGTTGCTTGTTGTTATATGTATAATTAACTCACCAACAAGGTCCCTATGTGGACCACTGTCTACGGAATTACCAATGGATGACTGTTTAGAACCCCAGAGTGTCCAGCCTTCATGGTGTTTACTGGTTAGCACAACATATCTAGAAATATAATAACAATTCATTGACCTTAAGGTAGTTAGCTACCATGAAAACATGAAAAAAGTTGATCACAATAAATCATTCAAAAATTGTGGTGATGATTCACATACATGCATGTCATCTATATTTAATACTACATATCATTTTTTTAGCATAGGTAATGGAACATATGTATGTTTATGCCATAGAAACCAATTGCAAACTATTCAAAAACGCAATTTTATCAATTTTCAAAGTCGTTTTGTGAAAAACTTTTATATAGTAACCCAACCACTCTTGATGAATTTCGAGAATTTCAGAATATTTTTTTTAATCATAATATATTGATAACCTCAAAGATTTATTAGATAAGGTTTTGCAGCTATTGTGTGTGTTTAGTAGAGTTTAGAGTAGATTCTACTTAGAGGTTATAAACAGCAAACGAGGATATTTGGTAGCGGATATATGACCTCAAATTAACATATTTGGCGCGAGATAATAACCGAGTGTAAGCTGTGCTGCAATGAACGTGTACGTTTCTCACAAGGAGTTTTCTTACAAAATGTGTATTATTATTATAATATTACCGATTGTTGGCCATTGTAATGCGTATTACCAGTAGTACACATACCAGGTTTCCCTGTTTTCATCAGTTGATCATATCAACATTCATTATGAACAGTGCTCAAAGTCGTATAATCTTGAATCAGTTAGGTATTTAAGCCAATTTATTCTGTTTTGGGACAGGATCACATGTTTTCTAGTGCCAAATATAAGACCTTGCTTCAGCCAATCAGATTTATAGACCCATGGAACCGGGAACAGCCACTGGTGGCTCTGTATACAATCGAAACCTCTTTAGGCTTGCCTATGCTCATGCAGACTTACAGTGTAAAAGCCAAAAACCCTTGTTAAATTTGGTGACCAGTTTAGTATAATAGAAAGCGTGTACAAATTACCATAATAGACAGAGTTGGGGTCAAGACTAAATATACGTAATTCCAGTGTTTCATAATAAATGTTTTCTATTGATAATTGCACTTTAAAATAATACTAATGAGATATGTCTACGTCATAACTTTGTTAAAGCTTATTTGCATATTGTGTATGTAGTGTGCATGCTTTCCGTATTCCACAACCAATGTGTCATCACAGTGAGGTCAATTGCAATTTATGTTTTATGTAAGTGACGTTCAGCGCCGTCACTGAGGTTTATCAATCAACTTCATCGATGGTGTTTAACGTTGTGTTTGTATTCGAAGCCCACACATAAGTGACGCTATCAGATATATACACAAGCTAACAAGCCACAAGCCAACAATGAGCTAATTAAACGATAATGAACGACCCGCCAACCCATAATAGGCGAAAGCTGGATTTGCTGCCACTAAAAATCCACAGTGAACGGAACAGTCACTGGTCCATAAATATGAAATATGCCAGCACAGCGGCATCAGTCGCGGAATCAAGGAAGCACGCATACTAGATGGAACGCTCCGACCGAGCGCACTTTAGCGTACAGAGCAGACAATGCCCTCACAAAATTGTATGATTTAGATACTAGTATTGAAATTTGCTTTGATGCCGATTTTAGTATTAAATACTTGTTATGGAACAATTTCTCTTCTTTTTAAATAGTTTTTCCTTTATTGGTTTTCTAAAACAACATTGTATTCATATCCATGGCACATGACTTTGATGCTCATTAATGGGATATATTATCGCGAATAATCTGCTGCAATGTCATAAAATCCACTGGCATTGATAATGCTATAATATAATAAAACATAAATACATACACCTATTACCAGTCTCTTTATGGTGACATAGAATAGTCCTATGCTGTAACTCAGAGACCCAATTACAGTAATATCACGTTTATCTAAAAACTTGAACCAAATCCTCAATTTTTATTCCCATATGACCTTGTACATATATACCTTGTATACTAGTAAGCAATCGATTCACAAAATGAAAAAAAAAAACTTTCGTGAAACTGAATTTAGTCACTGTAACATGGAGTATAGAATCAAATTAAGAAACACAAAATCACAACAAGCTAGACTGAAACAAATGAAAAATAATGAGCCAAGTTACTATAAATAAATATATTTTTGCTAGTTTAAAAAAAATGAACATATTTTTAAAAGCATCTGTATGAATGCAATGAAATTAATTTCTATTCCTATCAATGCAGTGATGACAAATCTCACAGCTGTTACTGCATGGTTGGTTTCCATTGCTTCCACTTTTGATTTGTATCAGGATTAAACATTACTAAAAGTCAGTGAATGGAAATGATTCGAAGGACTCTCCTGCCTAGCTGCCTCCATCTGTTTTCTCTATTTTTCAACACTGAAATGAGAAAACAAAAAGAGGCAGCTGGAGTACGGCCTCTTGTCATTTGAGCATGGATATACAATCACTTGAATTTATGTAGAGATGTAACAGTTTGTCACGAATCGGTTCTAGAAATGATAATGCATATTTAAATTTTGTATGCATGCCATTTTGAGTGGTGTAATCAAATACAGGCAGGAACTATGTGATTGACAATGACTTGTTCAATTAAAAATAGCCACCAGAATAAGGTGAATGTTATCTGGAATCTCACAAAGTCATTGTTTTGCTCAAGCTAATTCAGAAATTAACGATTTCCCTTATTCTTTACTATAGCGAATTTCTGAAAGGATGCTTCATGGAAATTCAAATGAATTGTCATAACAAGTTTGCATGTATTTCATTTTGTAATAGAGAATGCAATTCTGTAACAGAACTGCAACCCTATAACAACCATTGCCAGTGCTTGCCAACTCTAATTGTCTAAGCGTGCAGTCAAAAGAATAACTACCGTACCTTGCACCTGATGCCTGAAATAACTCCGCCCAATAATCAGCGTTGAATTTCTCCGCTGTGAAAAGTGCAATAAAATCTTTATATTCTTTTATTTGTGGGTAATTTTTCTTCATGTAGTCCACAATGGCAGGATCTTTTTTTGTTTCCCAGTTGTACCAGAACCACTCACTTCCAAATGCGGGGACGGAATACAGTCCCCAGTGGAGAAAAATACCGAACTTGGCATTATCATACCAATCAGGTAATGGACGAGTGTCCACCGATTCCCAAGTTGGTTTGTATTGTCTGAAAAAAGATAAAAATTATTGAGTGTATACTGCAAATATGTATAGTAGTACGGTATCATAAAACACACAACAAATCAGTTTTTAAGACTTTAGTTTCAGTGTAATACTAAACAATTTACTTAATGTGATTAATTAAACTTGAAAATGTTTGATTCGAATAAAAACAAAACAAGAATAGAGTCATACATGTATATACTAAATGTATGAATTTTGTTCAAGAAACAACTAATGCAGATTTATAACTTTGAGTGGCAAAGTCAATTTTTGTCACATTTCACAAATTGTTTCTGTATTTTTACAAAATTACAAAAATCTTGATCAAGATCTGTCGCTGAATTATGTTCATTTGCTCAAAAATTAACCCTTTCAGCACAATAATTTTTTAACCAAAATTTGTAATTATTTTTCTATAATATTTTTGATCATTTTGGACAAAATGAACATAACTTTCTATTGGCTGCATGTCTAGATCAAATTTGTACTGCAACATGCTTGTCCATAATATGTATATACTGTGTACTTTATTTTCACTGACATTTAATTTCACTATTTTGATATTTTGAGCAATTTCACTGGGTTTCAAGTTTTAAGTTTGTGTGGTGGGGAACAATGAGTTCTAACGTTATTTTACACTTCTAATTTTAGATTTAATTTAGCAAATTTTAATTATCAACAAAAATAACGAAATGGAACTAAGTAAATAATTAATGTGTTAACGGTATAGCAGACAATGAAATGGTAATATGATAGATGTACTGCCTACCTGGACCTGTTGTATTTTATTTATATATAGCAAGAGTACCAATCAACCAATCATGTCATACCAAATGTTGCATGTACATGTATGTACATGATAGTATTAATAAGGATTATATAAGTCTATATATGTACATATTTCTAACATATACCCCAGTACTGTCTAGACTTGAAGACGTACAACTAAGTGTTCTGAATCTAAATAGAGAATTTCTGTTCCTGATTCAGAACAAGTAACCATAACTTGGCAATTGAAATGGAAAGGCATACTCAGCCTACAACCACACTAGAACATAGGATCTGCAGGTGTTACATTATAGCATTATTTTTCACCACCTAGTCACAGACAGTGTTTTAACCTAATTTACGATTATATTTTCTGCATATTCATTATGGCAGCTCTTTGTGAATTGAATCTAATTTTATCATGAACATTAAACTGTCACCTCCGCACTCTTTGAATAAATACATGTTCATAGAAATATGACATGGTAATTAACTTCTATGCACCGTATGTAAAATATAATTCATATACAATATCATTGTAATCTCAACCAATGATTTTGATATTTGGATACTATTATAATGATGAATTAATGTCCCATCTGCACATCACATTATGCGACTCTAATTTATGCATATATACAGAATATATAAGATTTAATCTGTATAATTACTGAATTGCTGAATGGATATACTTACTTTGGTGGCTGTAAAGTGGTTACTATGACACTCAGTCGTTTATGAAGGCCAAGATGTTTGCCAAATAACAGAACCAGTAGAAGCAGCAAAATACAGCATAGAATTAAACGGAATTTGTCCCTTGATACCATTTTGAAGAATGATATCCATCTCATTGTTATTCATCCACAATCTGATACCAGACATTACCAGGTCATGCAAGCATCCATCCACACACAACTGTTTATTGTTTTCTGTGTTTCTTTGAGCTTTAACCCCTGTGTCAACTGAGGTTTCAACTTTGTACCCCCTAGGTTGGTAAGAATAGTTTCCTTTAGCTGAATCCCTATGTAATAGTAGTGATAATAATAAATTTATTGCATCGTTAGAAATAGTTTCCAATTCCAATTGTCACTTATTGCTATTTCTGATTACAAATATTTTTTTATTTACCTAGTTTATCTGGGCGTCTATTTTTACTTCTGAAATATTGATATTATTTAATAACTTGACTGTTTGGTGTCATGAAGAAATGTTCTTCATTCAATTTTCATCTCGGAACATTGCTTACAGATTCTAAAATCTTCTAAAGGTATTGGGTTGGGTATGTCTACCCTTCTCAATTTCTAATACATGACTGCTTATTCTGAAATGAGTCATTATGATTTTATGTTTCAGATTACACAAGAGCAAATTGGTTCAAAAGTGTATGAGTTTTTAAAAACTGTAAATTTTGTTGCTTTTGTTCTTGAAAAGCTGGTTTTGTTTGTAATATTATTGTCTGGTAAGTCACTAATATGATAGCAGTATTTTATAAGATTTTCCTGAATATCTATGAGTACTGGTAATGGAAATTCACATTATGACTTATTGAATGACTACAGGATTCCTGATAAGTTATAGCCCAGTGTATTTTTCTATGATTTCTTTGTTATTTTTAGACTAAATGGAAGTAATTTTCCATTACCTACAGGTCTTGACCAACATTTTTGAAAGGTAACAAATTTGACTTGGTGTTTAAAGTCTATTTCCAATAAAGCCAAAGAAAGAAAAATGTTTCTGTGTAATTTGTTTTCTAAAATTGATGTTTGGCAGCTTTTATTTTAGTCCCTGGACCCAGGCAGACAACGGTGATTTATATTTTGACTTCCATGCATCTTCATCCGTATCTTGAACATGTCTGATCTGATTTAAACATCACATATACTGTACATCACATATCTTTGGCGATATATGCATGTCTATTTGTTTCATGATCCAATTAAAGATGGCCTAATGGAAGCCATTTTTGTGTTAAAATTCATCAAAAGCAAGCTTTTCCGCCATTCTGGAACCAGATCTTGGTTGTGTGTGACTGGATTTTGTTCAACCAGTCATGTTCAAACTTTACATTTTTCTTAAACATGGGAACTTACAAAGACTATGCAATGCAATTACTTGTTAAATTTAATTTGTGATTTATTTATTTCATATTTTATTATTATTATTACATCTAAATGTTTATTTGTTTGTTTGTTTGTTTACAGATTACTAGTGTTGAAGTTCTGAAAGCGTATATCAATAGAATTCAAGAAGTGGAACCAATTATAAATGCTGTGGTTTGTGATAGATTTGATGAAGCATTGAAAGAAGCCCGATATATAGATAAAGTATTGGATTCTGGAAATGTTCCTGCTTACTACTCCAGGGAAAAGGCACCATTCCTTGGTGTTCCTTTCACAACTAAAGAAGCCTTTGCACATAAAGGTATATTGTAATTTGATAACAATTAAAGTCGAAACGAACACTACTGGCATTGCCATATTTTTTTTTTCAAGTGCATGCTCTTAAATTCTCTTCAAGTCTATTGTCAAGCCTACTTAACATTTGTATAAATATCAGACATGTCAGAGGACAAATAAGTTTTTAGCTCCACTGTCGACTTTGTCAAGCGGAGCTTATCATATGAGTGATTGTCGTCGTCCGTGTCAATGTTTTACTTGTTCGACTTCTTCTTGAAAACTATGAGCCTGAATGCTTTGATACTTGGTGTATATGTACCTTGGGTAGACCTTTCTTAGATTTGTTCATTTCATGATGATATCTTCAATTCTCTATTTTTGATGAATATTTTTGTCATTTTTGGTAAAAAGTGATATTTTCGACTTCTATTTAAAAACCGCAAGTCCAATTGCTTTTATATTACATTTATAGGTACTACATGTGGACCTCTCTCAGATTTGTTCAATTCATGATGATATCTTCAATTCGCTAATTTTGATGAATATTTTTGTCTTTTTTGGTAAAAAGTGATATTTTTGACTTATTGTTAAAAACCACAAGTTTGATTGCTTTTATATTACATATATAGGTACTACATGTGGACCTCTCTCTGATTTATTCATTTTGTAATGATATCTTTAATTCTCTAATTTTGGTGAATATTTTTTTCATTTTTGGTAAAAAGTGATATTTTCGACTTCTTGTTAAAAACCGCAAGTCCAATTGCTTTGATATTACTTATATACATGTAGGTACTACATGTGGTCTTCTCTAAGATTTGTTCATTTCATGATGATATCTTCAATTCTCTAATTTTGATGAATATTTTTGCAATTTTTGGTAAAAAGTGATATTTTCGACTTTTTGTTAAAAACCACAAGTTCGATTGCTTTTATATTACATATATAGGTACTACATGTGGACCTCTTTCAGATTGTTAATTTCATGGTGATATCTTCAATTATCTAATTTTAATGATTATTTTTGTCATTTTTGGTGAAAAGTGATATTTTTGAATTCTTGTTAAAAACAGCAAGTCTACATATTGTTAATTTTTTAATGATAACAGCGGAGCTATCTCAGTCGACAGGCTGCTTGTTTCTATTACCCCTGCAATAAATAATATGAGGTTATACAATATACCTCAAAGTATGCACGAAGACAGTACAGCAGGCGTATCGTCCGACGGGCAGCGAAGGTTGATGCGACGGCGTACTATCTGAGTGCATACTTTGAGGTATCTTTGTAATAACCTTAATATTATACATATTTTCCTTCCAAAGGATACATCATGAGAATGCCGAAATACAAAACGTTTAGAGCAGAATCAGCAAACTTCTTTGTGTGGAGTCCGGTCAAACCCTGGTGGCAGCCATATCATATTTAGGGTTTCGAGCCCATTTGGTCGAAACCCTATTGTAATTGTTCCGTTTATTATTATTATTATTATTAGGGTTTCGAGCCCATTTGGTTTTCAATGCCGAATTGCGCACCTTTCTGAGGGTCTGAGTGCTCCAATTTTTTTATGATAGTAGCAGTGCGACAAGGGCTACAAATTTCATCAAAAAAAACTTTAGCGGTCACGTGACTTTTTTTTTTAGAATTTTTTTAAATTTTGTTTTGCATCTCATTTGCATAATTTTCGACAAATCAACTAACCCTGAATAACTTTGAAAGATCATATGACATAGTATTTAATTCCAAAATATGGAAGTCCAGGCGATTAGCCGTTTTTTATAAGAAGATTTTAGAATGTTTTTTCATATTTTTTTGTTCTTTTATATGGTCACGTGACCTCATTTTATAGACATAATTGCAATATCTTAAGCACTGTTACAGTTAGGAACATGCAACTAGTGCAATATTGAAGTGATGGTACATGAAATTCTACTAACAAACAAGATGACCATATATGGTCATGTGATCTCATTAAATATGCATAAATGTAATATATCAAGCACTGTTACAGATAGGGACATGCAACCTGTGCAATATCGAAGCTATAGACACGAGATGTTACTAACTAATGTGATGACC